TGTCTAATAAAAAATTATGATTACGATGTGTTTTTAAATCTTTCAATGAAATACTTTTAAAGAGAAATAAAAAGTTATTCACTTTGGGAAAAAATTATTCATTATTCGAATTTCTACTAAATTTTTATTAATCGTTCAATACGGGTAACCGTAACCGTAAAAACCGCAAAACCGGTTTTGAACCGTCGTAATCGTTATTAACCGGTTAATCGGTTAACCGGTTACCCGGTTTTTAAGAGCTCATCTAGACTCTATCCTCGCGGAACGACGGACATTCGTTTACGATATCCGCGCTAGTGCTTCCGCGACTCACGGTCTATACCGGCGGGATCGAAGCTGGCGCGACTAGCTGGCCGTACCTTCGCGGCTTGGAATTAGCGGACCCGGATTACTGTTCGGCGGATCCGGTCGACGTGCTCCTCGGCGCCAACATTTACGCGTTGATTCTTAGCGAAGGACTCCGGAAGGGAGGGCCGCGCGAGCCTGTCGCACAGAACACGGCGTTGGGATGGATCCTCTCGGGAGTGATCGCCGATTCCGTCTCCGGACACGTCGCGTACACGCACCATTGTCGAATCGAGGAGGATCTAGTGAATGTAGAACGCCGGTTTTGGGAGCAGGAGGAAGCTCCGTCGAAAACAGCGGCTCTATCGAAGGAGGAAGTGGAGTGCGAGAGACATTTCGTCCGGACGCATTCGCGCCGGTCCGACGGACGCTACGTGGTGCGCCTTCCTTTCGTCTCGTCGCTCCCGGATCTTTCCGGAACGCGTCGCGTGGCCGAGCGAGTTGCGAAGTATGGAGAGCCGGTTTGCGCGGGATGCCGCCCTTCATGCCGCGTACATGGATTTTATGAAGCAATATGCTGAGCTGGGGCATATGACGCCGATCCACGCCAACGACTTAAACGGGATTCGCGTTTGCTACCTGCTGCATCACGGCGTTATGCGGGCGACGAGCTCTACGACCAAGCTGAGGGTGGTATTTAATGGCTCAGCCACAGTGTCAACCGGGGATTCGTTAAATCAGCACCTGATGGTCGGACTTAACTTGCTGCTGGCGCTGACGGACGTACTTACGCGATGGCGCCGCCACCGATTCGTATTCGCCACTGACATCGAGAAGATGTATCGGCAGATTGACGTCCATCAGGAGGATGTGGACCTGCTGAGGATTCTCTGGCGGTTTGATCCCAGAGAGCCTATGCAGGAGTATTGGCTCACCACCGTCACGTACGGCTTAGCCTGTTCTCCACATCAGGCGATTCGGACGATGCACCAGCTCGCCAAGGACGAGAGGCATCGATTTCCGGAGGGAGCAGGCATTCTGGAAGAAGACACTTACATGGACGACGTAATCTCCGGTGCGAAAACTCTAGCTGCCGCCTTAGAGAAACGGAGACAGTTGGAGCAGATCTGCATGGCGGGCGGCTTCCCGCTGAAAAAGTGGTCAGCCAATGACGAAGCTCTCCTAGAAGACGTGCCAGTGGAGGATCGACTGCTAAAGGAGTCTCGAGGCTGGCAACCGGGTGAGAGCCATCTGACATTAGGCTTGCGGTGGCACCCACATGAGGATCAATTTTCCTATACGACGCAGTTGATCCGGACGGAAACGTTCACTAAGCGAACAGTCCTCTCGCTGACTGCGAGACTGTTCGATCCTCTGGGGTGGCTCGCCCCTGTCACGGTGCGAGCGAAGATTCTATTCCAGTCTACGTGGTTGTTAGGGATCGATTGGGACGAGCCGCTCCCCGAGGAGGATGCCCGAAACTGGCGGGAATTCCAGTCTGACCTCCCCTCCCTGGAAGCCATCCGCGTCCCGCGCTGGCTGGCGAGCGGAGCCGAGGACTGCCGCCTGGAACTGCATGGTTTCGCCGATGCCTCGGAGCGAGCCTATGCCGCCGTCGTCTACTTACGAATCGAGAGCGGAGACGGCAAGGTAGAAGTGAGGCTACTCGAGGCTAAGACGAAAGTCGCCCCACTGAAACAGGTGACTTTGCTTCGGATGGAGCTTAGTGCCGCCGCCCTGCTTGTGCGAATCGCGGAACACGCTCAGAGAATCCTCGAGGCGAAGGATGTCCCTTCGCATCTGTGGTCGGACGCCAAGGTGGTGCTGGGTTGGATCCGCGGACATCCATCATCTTGGAAGACTTACGTGGCCAATCGAGTGAGCGAAATCCAGACGACGCTGCCTGACGCAATATGTCCCCGGCCGAGAAAACCCCGCCGATTGCGCTTCGCGCGGCATATCTCCGGAGGAGCTGGTGAACCACCCACTCTGGTGGCAAGGACCGCCGTGGCTTAAAACCGAATCCAGCCCGTGGACAGCCATTCAAGCGACCGAGCTTCCTGTTGATCTGCCGGATCGACGGACAAATGTGCACGCTGCAGCCATTTCTACGGAGAAGGTCGACGAGCCTCCGGAGTTGACGGAATGCTCCTCACTACAACGACTGTTGCGGTGAACTGCCTGGTGTCGTCGCTGGCTGCGGCGATTGCCTCAGCGGAGGACCGTTGCCGACTCGCAGGCCGATCTCGAGGTTCCGTTCGTGCTCCAGTCTTCTGAGCTCGATGAGGCACGCCGTTGCTGGATCCGAGTGGTGCAGGAGGCTGCATTTAGCGAGGAGCTGAGAGCGATCTCAAAGGGCGAGCAGCTGCCGGCGCCGGCTTGCGAGTTTCAGCCAGGCTCGTCGGAATTTTCCGGAACGGGAGTCTCACGACGTACCGTCCGGTGGCCGTACGTTCGTGGGTGCGCACGAAGATCTCTTCGCATTCTTCCTCTTCAGGCGTGAGAGCGGCGGGAGCAGAGACGTCGGTTTCCTGCTCCCAGAAGCGGCGCACTAGATCGACTAGTTCGTGGTCGGCAGTGCATTGAAGAGAAGTGCGGTGCCCTTCTGTTGCACCACAGCCCCCCGAGAGGATCCAACCGAGGACCGTCTTCTGCGCGATGGGCGCTTCAGGCCCGCCCTTGCGGATACCGTCTTCGAAGATGATGGAGCAGACTTCCGCTCCGAGGAGTATCTCGACTGGATCGTTATCCAGGAACTGCGGGTCGGCCAGAGGAAGTCCCTGAATGTGTAGCCACGCTGGAGCGCGCCTCGTAGTCGAGCCCTGATATAGCAAAAGACGCGGCAGAACGAACGCGACGGCGGAGATTGTAGACCCGGTCGTGATGGAGGTGATGCTCACTGTCACCTTCCCGCGGGTCGATCCCGATTTTGAGCCGCCGATCCCGAAGATTGACACGGCGGAGTACGAGCGTTTAAGGCGGAGCTGCTGAGCCAGAAATTCTGAGATAATCGATACTTCAGATCCCTGATCGATTAGAGCTCTCACGGCGTGAGGATCTCCAAGGCGGTCGGCGACCATCACCCGCGCGGTTGCCAGAAGAACGGCCTTGCTATCTTCGTCTTGACGCACTGCGGATAGTGCGCTGACTTCTGCGGGTTTCGGCTCTACGGGTTTCGGCGCGGGGACTTGAGCCTCGTGGAGCATTGTGTGGTGCCGAGATTTGCACGTCAGGCACGTTTTTGACGATTGGCACTTCGCGATCATGTGATTACCGAGGCAGTTGTAGCATAGCCAATTAGTCTCGACGAAAGATTTACGCTCATTGGCCGGCTTGGCCTTGAAATCGTTGCAAGTCATTAGGGTGTGCTTTCCTTTGCACAACGCGCACTGGATCGAAGCTACGTTTCGCGGCGTGAGTTTTCGCGGATCGTATCTCTGTGGCTTTCGACGCAGGTTTCGGTTTCGCGGCATTGAGTGTTAGTATGCGCTTGGTCATAAAGTCCGTGAGTGCCGTGTGATCCGGTGGATTGATGGAGTCGCAGATGGAGGACTCCCACTCGAGACGCGTACGCGGATCAAAGAGCTCGACTACGAGGTGGTTGAAGAGGTCCATCCCGTGGGACTCGATAGGCCGGCCAATGCTCTCCTGCGCGTTAACAGCGGCCGTCGCGGCGTTGGAAATTCGGCTAAGTTCATCGGCGGTATC